ACTAAATTTTACCTGCTCTTTCAGAATATCTAGGTTTCATTTGTGGATCCCACGGATCGTTGGGACCATTCCCTTGTGAGCCTTTTCAGAACTTTCGATTTGGGTCCCACCACGAAAACCCTGAGAATCAGGGAAAGTCATCAAAAAGTCCAGAAATTAAAATTGATTGTTTATAGCGACCTCTAAACGTCTGACAGACCGAAATTACAATGTTTTTTGCAAAAAAAAATTCCAAAAAATCCTATTTTTCCCTCAATTTCTTTTCTCGTCACTGCAAGTACAAGTCTATTATCCCTAGATCTCCGTGTAATCAAAAATGCCCCTCTCGGTCGGCTGAAAAGACGGAAGCATATCCTATTATGGTGTTTATTCGATATGTGGTCCCAATCAAGGATTCAGTGGGGATTTCGCGGGGACTCTCACGCTTCCAAAGCGGCCGTAGGTGGTCTTACAAAATAAGGAGATGCATTTCTCTGTTTTCTTTTCGCCACATTTTCTTGGAGAGTATTTTTGGGGCGAGACTTGACCAAAGTCCTTTTTGGGGGTTGCAGTTTCGTGAATTTTGACTTTTTGACTTGGCTGGAGGAATTTTTTTGAACTTGAAAATTTTTGATGACAAAGAAAGATAGTGGCGGAAAACGGCATTTTTTGAGATTTTTAGGTAGACATTTTTTTCTAATCTGCTCTTTAAACTGTTTACTATGCACTTCGGAGCAGTAATTTTACATTTTAGCGGTTTTTCAGGACCTTCCCTGATTTTCAGGGTTTTCGTGGTGGGACCCAAAAGTTGCTCAGAATTTGATGAAAATTGGCATAGAGTAAAAATAAAATTTTGTAAAACATAGAAAAACACCTTACCTTGTGTTCGTGGTAAAAAAACGATTTTTGTATAAAACTTGAATTTTACCGAAAAAGTTTTTTAATTAATTTTTTTGGGTCAAAATACTATATTCTTATGTCCAAAAAACAAAAAAATTGACTTTGCCCTTATCTTCCCATCAAAGGTGCAAATGTCATAATAATCCAAGTGAAAAGTTTGATTATATTTGCCATGGTAATTCCCGATGACATCTTTATTTTTCGGCCCACAAATTTCTTCGTCCTCGGCCCCCGACTTTTCGGGCCGCCTCGAGCGCAAGGGAACGGAAACAGGAAGGACATTAAAAAGGGAAGAAGAAAAAAAGAAAAGAAGATGAATCCGAGAAAGCCCCACTCGCAAATCTGGTGAAAAATCAAGATTTTCATTTGTTTTTGTCTCGACGCGCGAAAACAATTTGTTCGCAGGGGATTTTGGGGGAAATTTGGCCGATGGTTTTTCAAGTTTTGGGACTGCACGGTGCGGAAAATTATTTTTGTTTTTTGCACGGTGCGAAAAAATACCTAAAAATTTTTGCACTGTGCAAAAAAAATGACTTTATTTTGCACTGTGCGTTCTGAAAACATTATTTTAACTGCACAGTGCAAAATTTTTATCTTTATTTTGCACTGTAAAACACGAATTTTTTAAGCCGCACAGTGCAAAGATTTTATATTTTTCGCACCGTGCGATTTGAGTTTTTTGATTGCACGGTGCAGAAAAAATAGCTAGAAATTTTTGCACTGTGCGTTATGAAAAAAAATCATTTGATTGCACTGTGCAATAATTTTATATTTTTCGCACCGTGCAATGCGAATTTTTTTAACTGCACCGTGCAGAAAAAAAGTAATTTTATTTTTGCACTGTGCGTTCTGAAATGATTTTTTAAACTGCACAGTGCAAAATTTTTATTTTTATTTTGCACCGTGCAATTTGAGTTATTTTGACTGCACGGTGCAGAAAAAAAAATAATTTTATTTTTGCACTGTGCGTTTCGAACAAAATTCTTTTGATTGCACAGTGCAAAAGTTTTATAATTTTTCGCACCGTGCAATTTGAATTATTTTGACTGCACGGTGCAGAAAAAAAAATAATTTTATTTTTGCACTGTGCGTTCTAAAAAAGAAATATGACGACTGCACAGTGCAAAAAAATTTCAGAAAATTAAAAATGCACTGTGCAAAAACTTTTATTCTGCACCGTGCATTCTCAAAAACTTAAAAATCCCAAAATTCTCTTCAAAAATATCGCTTTTAAGATTCTAAATTTCCCCCTAAATGCCCTACTGAGAATCCATCCTTCCTAAAATACCCCTTACATCATTGTCTCCACGCTTTTCTCGCTCTCCTCATTATTTATTAGCAATCTTTTCCACCTTTGACACAAATTCTTCCTCATCACTGGGCCTTCCAGAATTTCTAAAGCCTGTTCCAAGCAGTTTTTGGTTGGTGATTTTTAGTGTCTGCGACAAATTTTATTGCGAGCAAAAAAAGTCAACAAAATATGTCGACAGATGGGGGAAACCGTAAAACATTTTCAAAAAGAAGTCCAAATTGAAATATTTTGATCCTTTTTTAAAGTTTAAAGTTTTTGTTAGCGTTTAGACTACATTTGAAGGATCTTACCACGCATTTTTTACTCCGAAACTAGTCCAAGAGCTATCTAATTACGTCGGAAGTTTTATTGCACAGTGCGGTTTTTTGAAGAGGGCGCACTGTGCAGTAAATAGTCAAAAAATTCTGAATTTCTTTATTTTTGTAATAAGCGGACAGTGACTACACCACTTACATTAATTTTATTTTTTTGCGGCCGCACAGTACAGAGATACTCTCTTTATTTCCATTGCACTGTGCAGTTTATATTATAACCTAGTGCACGGTGCAGAAGTGGGCAGGAATTTTTTGTCCTGTATTTTTTTGATGGTAATAGGTTGTAGATATACTAGCAAAACGAATTTTAATTTTGCAACCGCAGAGTATAAATATTTTTCAATTTCTGTCCATTGCACTGTGCAGATTCTAAATCTTTTCGCACAGTGCGCAATTTGGTCAAACTTTTATAAATGCTTTTTTTATAGGTGTCTTTTTACACTCTTTGGTAACAAACACTCTTTTCTTTTTACTGTCCATCCGGTAACTGCGATTTTTTGTCATCTTTTCTCTCCGCACAGTGCAGTTTTCGTTTTTTCCTTCTGCACTGTGCAGTTCCCAAGATATCGAAAAACCTTGATGTTAACACACTATTTACCCCTCCTCGCCTTCATAATTATAGATTTGAGTTGCTAATTACCTGTGCCTCTCCATCTTTCTTCACAATTTCGTTTACCGCACCGTGCACAAGACGAGTTTTCGTCTTTCGCACGGTGCATTCCTTGTATATAATAAATAAATGCTCTCTAAATTATGGGGATTTCAACCTTTTCCAACAATTCAGCACTGCTTTCGACTACTTCTGAACTGTTTATTACGCCTAATTACGAGCTTGGCCAATTTCTTCGGGGCGGATTTGGCCGGCTCCGGAAACCGTAAAGGAGGCTCTAAATCTTCATTTTATGAGCTTACTTCTTGAGTCTTTCGGGCGAGGAATCGGTTGCCTGGTGTGGAAACCCCCCTCTACTTGGATATTCCTCGGCCCAAAGAATTGGAAAAAATGTCGAAAAACTGCAAAAAATACTCTTTTCCGTTTTCACGTCTTTTGACGTCGACGTAGCCGCAGGGCTTAAAGATTTCCAAACCTTTTCTTGAAATCCTCGGCCTTTCAACGTTTACGATTTGGTAATTGCACAGTGCAGAAAAACAAATTTTTAAAACTCTCTCTGCACCGTGCAGTCTTTTCAATTTTATGCACTGTGCAACGAAAGCAGTTTTTATTGACTGCACTGTGCAGGAAATTCGCTATCAGTCTGGCCGAAAAAGAACCGGCCTCCCCGAACCCTTCCGTCGCACTCACTCCAAACCCCAATTTGCACCGCGCAGAAATTTGGAGGACGTCGCCGAAGAAAAGAGCAAAAACGACGCATCGCCAGCGATAAATGGGGGTTTTGCATAGTGCAAACGGCATTTTTCTGCTGTTTCGCACTGTGCAATCAACAAAATTCCCACAAATTCAGCGATCTTTCGATGTCGCGCGCACTTTTGCGATGCATCGCACAAACATTCAATTTCGGGGTTGCGATTTCGATGCGCGAGGGGGGCCGGTTCTTTTTCGGCCAGACTGATAATTTCACTGCACTGCGGCGATTGAAAAAGTTTGTCGCAACTGTCGCGCGGTGCAATAAATTTCTTTCCTTTTCCCTCTGCACCGTGCGTCAAAGATGTTTTGATTTCTGCGATTTGCAGGAATTTCCAATTTGCTTTGATGCACAGTGCAATCAAAAGGATTTGTCGCAACTTTCGCACAGTGCATTTACCCAGTTTCTTTATTTGCACAGTGCAGCAGCGACATTTTAAATTTCTGCACTGTGCAAAGAGTTTCCTTTTTTCCTTCTGCACTGTGCGCTCAAACGAATTTGTCGCAAGTTTTGCACAGTGCAATCTTTTGCCTTCTTTTTTCTTCCGCACTGTGCATCAGAGACATTTTTATTTCCGCACCGTGCAGTTACCAAGTTATCCCGTTGCACTGTGCGACAGCGACATTTTTAATTTCTGCACTGTGCAAAGACGCAAAGACCTTCCTTTCCTTCTTCTGCACAGTGCAATCAAAAGAATTTGTCGCAGCTTTTGCACGGTGCAATCTTTCGCTTTCTTTTTTATTCCGCACTGTGCATCAAAGATATTTTTACTTCCGCACGGTGCAGTTCTTTTATTTTTCCTCCGCACGGTGCGGTGATCTCCGAATACTCAAATACTGTAATTTCTCCCATATTACTCTCCTTTTTACCGTCTTATCCCATAAATCACGTCGTCTAGGCTCTAAAATTTATTCCGCTCTCATCTAATTAATACTTTATCACCAGTTATCTCCTCCAATTTGCGGCGTCGTCTTAAGCCGGATGTGCGTGGGAATCGCGGCTTGGCCCAAGACGAGATTTTCTGTTGTATTTTTTTGACGATACTCTTTATTGCAGTAAATGTAATGCGGTTTTGAGAACAAAACCCCGCATGAATAAGGTTGTTGTTTCTGCTGGGATCTGGCTTCCGTACTAATGAGCGTATGGATTCTGAGCGTGTCGGATCTTGAGAAGACTATGAAAGATGGGTAAGGAATAAAAATTCGGTGAAAAAATCAAGAATAAATTTTTTTTAAAAACGGGATTTTTTGACGCCAAAAATTAATCTTTCTGGCGACAAAAAAAAAAGACTTTTTTATCCATCTAAATGCCCTTTGTGGTAAAAAAACTTCAAAAAATCATTGAAATTTGCATAAAATTAAAAATTATGAAAACGGAAATTAAATTCGCCCTGAGGCAATTCGGTTAGAATATAAATTTAAAGGTAAATTATGGTGTATCAACGTGTTTTACATCGTTTTTGTCGTTCGTTTGTTGTCTTTTGGTGTGTGTGACGTAAATATAATTTTTTCCGCATAGTGCGATATAATTTCCAAAAAATTAAATTTCGCTGGAACAGCACAAATATTTTTTAAAATACGGAACGTTTAGCCCATGCTTTGGCACAAATAATCAATGCACAGTGCGAAAAAAATTCGTTTTGAATTGCACTGTGCAACAAAACACAAAATTTTTGAAAATTTAAAACTTTCTATTTTAAAATACGTAACGCTTATATACGTCTTATATGTTGTTTTTTGAACTCAATAGTCATAATTTTTCCTTATAAATCCCCAAAAATCTCATCTGATCCAGCTGTCCGACGGGACCGCATTATGCGTTGTGTAGCGGAATTCCCTTCAATGAGTCATGATACGTCCAGAAAATTATTGTTAGAGCATCATAACTAAAATATTCCATTAGTTTTGACCCAAATTTGAGATTTTTTCCGTATCAGATGGGTAGTGTAATATAATTTTTGTGTAATAGCTAATTTTAAGTCACTCGTAATAAGCTGACAAAATGTGATGTGATGGTATTATAAGGCTAATTAGTTGTTTTAAAGTGCCCATGATGTTTTTACGTTTAATTACTTAAAAAATGATCAAAGTTTACCTAGTGCAATATAATGTCTAGCTCAATATGGGGTAAACTTTTGAGCTGAAGGATTTTAAAATAGTCTTTTCTGAAGGCTTATTAGGCCATTTTCGCGCTCTTGTGTCATTTTATGGTACCGGAAATCGCCAAAAATGATCAAAATTTGGCTAGTACAATATAATTTCTTGCTCAATATCTGAGAAAAATTTGTGATTCCCAATTAGGAAATTGTACGATAATCATGCCTAGAGGCTAACTAGCTCTTTTCAAGTGCCCACGACTTTGTTAGTACCGTCTAATTACTCAAAAAAATCATCCAAATTCACCTAGTGCAATATAGAAACTTCCTTAAAATGACTTGAATTTTTCCCGACAAAAGAGATTTCTGATCCCGCCAAATTTTCTCTTACATATAGCACGTTGTCATCATTTTGAAATGGCGTTTTTTCCTTCCCCATAACTTGCAAATATCGCCGGCGGACCGCATTTTTTGCGCATTTCTCTGGAGACCCGCGAAAGTACGGAAAAAGAAAAGTACTAAGTAGCATTGAAATTTACTTACCGCCGCTTGATAAGCAGATAGTGGGCCCGTCGAATGCGATTATCAGCGGCGGCCGAGAGCCCCACACGGCGTGCCGAAGGAAGACGTTTGTTGGGGGGTCTCGGTTACGGTTCGACGAAGTTCGGCGGCGTGTTTTTCGAGAAACCGGAGAGTCTTCCGGGACCTGCGCTTCGGGCACGCTTCGGGACTACTCGGTTTCGACTATTCCTTAACACTAGCACTCAAGTTTCGGTTTATATTATACTAGCGGCTACATTGTGCTAGGTGGAATTTGGAGAAATTACCCGATTTTTGGTGGATTTAGGCCATCTCAAGGCTTGTGTGAGCTATTTTGGAGAAAATAACACCATTATCTACCTAAATTGCCTTTAAAAATCTACATTTTTGCCCAATATTATACTAGGTGACATATTGCACTAGGCAAATTTTGCCGATTTTTGGTGGATTTCTACTGCCAAAACACTTGCCTAGGCTATTTTGAGCCTAAACACACCCTTATCTATCCGGACTACCCTCAAAAATCGAGCTTTTTACCCTATATTATACTAGATCATATATTGTACTTGGCAAAATTTGACTGATTTTTGCCATAAATCCAGTATTTCCTACTGAGAAGGGCAGTGTTAACGCCATATCACAACTTGTCAGCTTATTACGACTGATTTAAAACTAGTTATTACTCAAAAATTATATTACACTACCCATCTGATATGGAAAAAATCCCAAGCTTGGATGAAAACTAAAGACAGATTCTGGTTATAATGCTCTAACAGTTGTATTCCTGGCTTATCATGACTCATCGAAGGGAAATCCGCTACACAACGCATAATGCGGTCCCCTCGGACAGCTGGATCAGGTGATTTTTGGGGATTTGTAGGGGAAATTGGTGGTTATTTGGGCTGAAAAAATCGATAGATGATATTTGGCTATTTTACAATCAAAATTTTTCACTTCGCAAAAAATTTTTAATAAATTTTTAATAAAATTTTTTCGCACAGTGCAGCTTCAAAAAAAATTTTTTTGCACTGTGCAGATTTAGAAAACTTTTTGCACAGTGCGAATTTTCCCAAAAAGCTTTTGCACAGTGCGATTTCGAAATTCAAAGTTTTTTCTCCGCACCGTGCATCAACTCAATAAAATATTTTTCACACAGTTCAGCGCAAAAAAATTTTTTTTGCACAGTGCAGCTTCAAAAAAAATTTTTTGCACTGTGCGAATTTTCCCAAAAAATTCTCGCACTGTGCGAAATTCAATTTTTTTCTTCGCACTGTGCAAAACCCAATAAAAGATTTTTCGCACAGTGCAATTCAAAAAGAACTTTTGCACTGTGCAATTTTTCGAAAAAAAATTCCGCACTGTGCGAATTTTCCCAAAAAATTCTCGCACTGTGCGAAACCCAGACTTTTTTCTCCGCACCGTGCAAAAACTCAATAAAAGATTTTTCGCACAGTGCAATGCAAAAAAAATTCTGCACAGTGCGAATTTTCCCAAAAAAAATCCCGCGCTGTGCGAAACAGAGATTTTTTCTCCGCACCGTGCAAAAACTCAACAAAACATTTTTTGCACAGTGCAATTTCCGAAAAAATACAAACTTGAAATTTCGTATTTTACGGCTGTGCTTGAGTTGTACTACATGCCTCTTGTGTTTATTTGTCGTGTGCTGATGATTAATTAGCGACTTTGGGCGGGTTATTGTCACCTGTCATGGAACCCAAACTCACCTGTCAATTAAAAGCGCGTTTCCAGCGGCTTAATGAGAAGGCGAGCTGGTTGGGCCAATTGTAAACGAAGATTGTTTGGGCGAGTTGGCACAATTGGAAGATTAGGGAGAGGGATTTTGGGATTTTTTGAAATTTGAAACGGGATTCTTTGAAAATTTTTTTAAATTTGGAACAAAAAAATCAAATGTACAATAAATTTTAGAGTATTAGCAAGTTTTTATAATTGAAATTGAAGGAAAATTTTTTATTTTTTTGTGGAAAAAATTGGAATTTTTAATTTTTCTCGATTTTGAAAATTTCACTCAAAAAATCAAAAATTTTTTTGGAAAACATTGTGAAATAGGGCAGTCACATCATAAAAATTTTAGCTACTCAAAAATTTTTTGCATTACATCACCTTAATTTACCATTTTTTCGAGAATTTTTGAGTATTCTCTCCAATTTCCCCTTTTTTCCAAAAAAATGTTTACGTCTCGACAGAAAAAAGCCTTCCAAAAGCCCTGAGGGCATGTCCGAGTCGCGCATTCCTTTGTATGAATAACGCACTTAGTTCACTTGTACAATTTTATGCCCAAAAAAGTTTATTTTCGCCCCGTCCCCTTCCCATTTTTGGCTTGATGCCCTGCGGGTCTTATTAGCTTCGTTCCGGAGGGGGGTTGAAGGGAGTCGAAGGTCGGGCGTGTTTGATGCCCTCCAAGGTTATTGCAGGCCCGCAGAGAATGGGAGAATGTCGGCGGAGCATGTAGAGCATCACCATCATCATGTGGTCTCGGCCGATTCTCCGCTCCTCCTGGAGCTGTTGGGCGGCACGGCGAATCGACAAGGGTCAGGAAGTCGCTCGTTGATTATCAGCTTGTCGTGGTGTGATTTTTTGTTTTGATTTTTTAACTTTTTTCCACGGCACTGTGCAGTACAAACTTATCTCCACTGCACAGTGCAGATCAAATTTTGATTTTAATTTTTTTCGCTGTGCGATTTGCAAAAATAAAAAAAATATGGTCTAGTTGATAGACAGCTTCATAATATTATACACTACTATTATTTTTAACTCAATTTTTTATTTTCCCGCTGCAGAAATCGAAAATCTCTAAATCCATCGCACTGTGCGATAAAAATTTTGATTTTGATTTTTTTCACTGTGCGATTTGTAAAAATAAAAAAAATATAGCCTAGTTGATAGACAGCTTCATACTCTTTCGCACTACTATTTTTTCGACTCAACTTTTTATTTGCACGTCGCTGAAATCGCGAAAAATCTATACCCACCGCACTGTGCGATAAAAATTTTAACTTTCGGTCTTTGAACTGTGCGACTAACCAAAATTAAAAATTCATTTCTTCTGTTGATTAAAAACTTGCAGCTTTGTTACCAGCAAAATTTTCAATTTTGTTTTCCCCCTGCACGGTGCAAGAATATACGAAATTTATTTTTTGACGGCACAGTGCGGAAGAATTGAATTTTTTGCGGTAAACAACCTTCATTTCTCCCATTCGACTTCTGGTTCCTTCAAACTTTCTTTTTGAGCCATGCAACTCCCCAAAGCCAGACAAATCCCCCACCGCACAGTGCAAGAAACTAATAACTTGAAAAGCGCGGTGCATTTTAATGAGTGTTGTGTTTGATGTGGTGTCTGTGTCTCCATGGGTTCTGCTTGACCCCAAAAAACTTTGTTCTTCCTTGTTCAATGAACCGTGAATGCAGAACGAATCAAGAATTCAGCTGCACTGTGCGATGACGCGGAATTTGTTGATTGCACAGTGCAGGAGGGGTAAAATTGTGAAAAATAAAATTGAAATGGAAATTCTAGGTGGTAAAAAAAATTTCGACAGAATAAAAAATTTTGAAAAGTTCAAACTTTTGCACGGTGCAAAGAAATATTTTCGCCGCACAGTGCGAAAACAAAAAAGTTATGTTTTTGGGTAAATTTTGTGTTGTAAACATGTCTATGACGTGTCCGTATTTTGCAAGTAAGAATAAATCCAAAAAAAAACTCAAAGTTTGTTATTGTAGTAACACAAAAATAAAAAAAATGCAATTTTTTTCTAATTTTTTCTCCAATTTCAGTACTGCGGGTCATAAATTTAATCGACTGTCGTCGGATATCAGCGAGATTGCGAGTTACATGCATGATATCCGAATATGTTTCATGGCACTCACCGTTACCGTGTACATCGTGCTAGGCATCATCGGGATGCGCGCGTTCTGCGCCAAACGGCAAAAAAATCGCGCCAACGCACGAAGGCCTCGAGGGCAATGGGAGTACGGGGTAAGTTTTGATATATTTTTTGTCATTAAAGGCATTTTTTACCTTCAAAAATTTCGATTTCTGCCATTTCTGACAAAAAAATTGACTGCACAGTGCAGTATTTCTTTTTGACTATTTTTCTCATTGCACCGTGCAAAATTTTAGATGAAGCTAATTTGTAGAATATTTTTTGAAGGCTCTAGACAACAGTGAATACCACTTTTGCCATGCAGATTAAAATCTTTACCCGTTTTTGGAAGAAAAAAATTTGAGTGCACGGTGCAGAGCCTTTTTTAGCCTATTTTTGGCCTTGCACTGTGCGGTGATTTAGAAAATTGTGATTTTCGAATTGTCTGGGGTTAGAAATTGACTCTGCTTGAAATAACTGGGCTAAAAATTATGACCTGAGGCATTTGCAAACGAAAAAAAGTCTAATTTTGATGAAAAATCAGCAATTTTTTCTATTTTCTGTCCAAAAAGGTTCAAAATTCGTCTTTTTTCGACCCCTCAGGGCAGAAAATTTATTCCACTCACTTCTCCGCTCCTTTTCAGAATGACGGTCATCCGGATTACCGCAATCAAACGGGTCAAATGGACGATCTGGTGTCGGTCCGAAGCGACGGCCAGGTGGGGACGGGCCAGACCGTCACCACACAGGCGAATGCGCAGCCCGGCGCGCCCGCACAGGTGCAAATACCGTTGGGCGGGCAGCCGGCGTTCATGCGGTCGAACAATCGAGCGGCCGCACCGTTTATGCGGCACGGCCGAATGCACAACAACTACAACAACACGATGGGGAATCAAGCAAGGTAGGCGGGAATGGAGTGCGATTTGAGCAGCGTCGTCGTCCTCTTGTTGAGCGTTCCGCTGTTGGCTAGCTGAAGAGAGAGGGGAGCTGGGATTGGCATGAGCAAGGTTTCTAGAGTTGGCAGGCTGCGCCCAGAGATTAAAGGAGAAAATTGGTGACTTGTAGGTGGATTTATAACACATAAAATACAACGCACCCACCCGTTATTACGTATTTTACCATTTTTTTACTATTTTAGCAATATATCAAAAAATTTTTTGGCGAGCTGCGCCCTATGTTCACCTTTTTACATGCGAGAAAGTTATCAAAAATAGTGTTTAAAAACTTTAATGCTTTGCTTCCCGTATTTTACTGTTTTATTACCCCGTTTTGCTTGAGTTTAGCGATATTTTCATCTGGCAGGCTGCGCCCAGCCTTTCAATGGCAGAGTTAAGATGATTTCAAAAATCTACGTAAAAAGATGGAAAAATGACACAAGCGTATTTTAAAAATTTCTTATTCCGATTTTCCATAAATTGGAGACCCCGCAGCCTGCGCCCTAGGATAAAAAAGATTGAGCCGAATAAAGCGAAACAGAGCCCAAATTGAAGCCAAATATATCACAATCTCATGCCAACCCATTCCCCTCGTTGTCCTGCTGTTCGTCCTCCATTTTGCGACCATAAATGGGCTAATCCCACGAGTATAACACAATAAAACTTCCATTGCATGTCTTCTCCTTTTCTATCGCCTAACCCCCCAATGCCCTCGAGGCTCTAACCCTCGCACCTGACGTGTCCAACGATTGGCTTTTGTACTCGCACCGTTTTTCTCGCCATTTTTCTGAATATTTTGCTCTAGACGCCCCACCGAAAGCCCAAAACCGGCCGAAATCCCGATCATCATCGCGGATGATCAGCTGTGAGAAAAGGTAGTTGTTGCTGTCCCCTCTCTCCGCCTAACACCCCCCTTCTTCCATACTCACGCTATCTTGTCCGCTTAAACGGCTGTATTCTTTCTAGATGGTTGAAAAATGGGAATTTAAGGGGGATTTTGGAAATTTGGATGGTTTTTTTTTGATTTTTATTGGCCTAGGGACTTTATAGAATACTAGAAGATCAAGAAAGACTGGAAAAAATTTTTGGGATTTTTTGAAATTTTTTGGAATTTTTCAAAATTTTATTAAAATTTATTAAAATATCTGGTCGAACATGTTCACCATGAATTTCTCAAAATTTTTTTATTTTTTAAAATACGATTTTTTTACTTTTCCTGTTGTTTTTTACTTTTTTTTGTAAAAAAATCAAAAAATTCCAAAAATTCATTTATCTCTCAAAATTTTAAGATACGAGCATGCCATCAAAAACAAAGAATAAAACCAAAGAAAATCAATAAATATATAGCTCCATGTTTGTGCTGGTGGATATTGTCGAGTACGGTTGTGGAGACAGCTTGATGGTGGCTGCGAAAACGAAATAATTTTGTCGTATTTTTTATTAGGCCCTCCTTGACAAAAGCCGCCACAATCACCGCGTCGGCCGTGCCGGAGACGGCGGAAGAGACTTGACCCGAAAACAGAGAGAGAGAGAGAGAGAGACTTGACCCATTTGAGCTTCGGTTTTAAAATATTGACGTGAGGACTCTTTTCCGTTATTTTAATCTTATCACTGCGCTTTGTTTGACGTGGGTCTGTCTATTTTTACATTATATTCTCATAGCCTAAGGGGGTTTTCAAAACAATTTTAGATAAGATTTTTTTTATTTTTTGTAGAATTCTGCATAACGCGGTCGAAAAAAGTAATTTAAAGGCTTAGAAAAATGTAATTTTTAGCTAAAAAGTCACAGTTGTTACTACAAGCAAAAATTTTTGTAACGTCTTACAAAATTTGGCCAAGTTTAATCAAAACATGTTCAAAATATGATATATTTTTTTGTAAAATACGCGATTACTCTATGTGACAAAAAAATCAAGCCGTGTTTTTTGGAAAAAAATTGATTTTTTTCATACAAATTTTCCAAGAAAAAAATCAACTTTTGCACTTCACAGGACCTCTATCCACGCTCTTCTTCAATAGTCATCCAATTCTTGCCGTCTCGCTTTTCCTCCTCCCCATTTTCACCCAAATCTGGCCATCTCTTGCCTCCGCCAGCCCTTCCATTCATTCCTAATCCCTCCGCATTTCTTCAGGCTGATTTCGGACACGGACACGGTGAAGCACCAGATCCCCCACATCACCACGCAAGAGGTGCCGGACGCGAACGGTGGGAGTCAGCCCTCGTCGCCGCCGCCCGCCCCCACCACCAACACCACCACGCCCACGCCACGCACGCTGCACCATCGGACGACGGCCGCCTCGGTGGAAGTGAACGGCGGCCATCACAACGGGCATGGCTATAGGCACGCCACCGACATGTGACTAGGCGATTGGGTGGTGGTCGGGTTCGTCGTCCAGCTCTTCCTCAATCTGGCGGTCTTGCTAGGCTTTCGGTAATATTTACCCATGCAATGTAAGTGCAATATAAAAAAATGGTTTTATGGGTAAGATACGATGAAGTCACTGAAATAGGATGTCAATAGAGAAAACTAGAAGCATGAAGATTAATGTAGTTTACGAAATTTTTTGAGTTCTACTTTTGCACAGTGCAAAAATTAAGATTTTGCTTTTTGCACTGTGCAAGGCAAAAGTCATGTAAATTCATAGCGAAATTGGATTCAAATGTGGAATCCGGTGTTATAAGAGGTCACACCAAAGCGCCTTGAAGCATTTTGGCTCCGTTTAATTATCATTTTTTTCTTTGCACGCTGCGAAAATTTCAATTTTTCATTTCGCACAGTGCTGCGCGGAAAATTGGAGTTTCGCACTGTGCGATAGCAATTCTATGACAAATCTTTTACTGATCTGTTCATTTTGTCCCACAAGACGCATTTATTACACAGGGCCTTTAAATTTTTGCACTGCACAGTGCAATGATCTCAAATTTGTAAAATGCACAGTGCAGTAAGCATAAAAGGCAATTTTTTTTTATTTTTGCACAGAGAACTTGTCACATCAAAAAGCAACAAACACTGCAGCATAACTTAATGAGATCATGATATTTTTCAGTTTTTTTAACCTATTTTTTGATAGTTGCACCGTGCGAAATTCATTTTTGAGTTTTTTTATGATGCATTTTCACGTTGCAAATTCATTTTTACCTTAATTTTGTCTTTTTTTACCTTGAAAGATTCAATAATGTCTTGATAGAAGCAGATGTCGTATTTTACCTCAAAATGGGAAGAAATTTACATATTTTCTTTTACTGCACTGTGCAAAAAACATTTAGTTTTTTTGCACTGTGCAATATTTGAAAAAAACAAATTTTTGAAGTAAAAAAATTACTGTAACAATTCGACTTTCAGACTCATCCACGATTACTACACAACCCCCTTGTACTTTGCACAGGACTTGTAAATCAACCTCTCCCCCTCTTCGAGTACCGTATCCTCCAGCGTCAATCCATTGTCGACCCGTTTCCTTCACACATATTTTGGTGATTGTTTGTATTGTAAACTCCCCGAGTGCCTTTTATCGCATCAAATAAGGAATTCATACTTCGTATTTTACTTCGTATTTTGTGTCGTATTTTCGTAATTAACGCTTGCTTCTCTTGTATTTAGGCCCAATGTTATGTCTACAGTTATTTTTAAGGCAAAAATTTGAAAATTTGGCTTTTTGAAGCTTGCACAGTGCGAAAAATTAAAATTAAAAATTTTGCACTGTGCACTTGAAAAAATTATGAAATTTTTCGACTACCCTGTTTACCATGACCGAAAAATTTTTTTCACATTAAATTTTTGTTCTTTTTCTCCCTCTGCACTGTGCAATAGCCGACCCAAATTGATTGCACAGTGCAGTTTTTCAATTTTTGCAATTTGCACTGTGCGATCAAAAAAATCATGAAATTTAGCGTTTTATTAATAAAATAAAAGTGATTTAACATAAAATACGTCTACACACTTTGAAAAACCAATTTTTACCGGTTGCACGGTGCAATTTTATCTTTTAAAACTTTGCACTGTGCAATCAACTTTTTCCAAATTTCGCACTGTGCAAAGCTGATTTCCAGAATTTTCGCCTAAAATCGACTGTAAAAAATTTCCGAAGCTTACTTATTTGTAACAGAAAACAATTGTAACCGTTTCTCTGTCTCTCCCGGCCAGTTCCAAAGCGCTGAATCTCGTGGAAATCCCAAATTTAATTCAGCTTTCAAATCCCCACAAATCTTCATCAGAAAACATTTTTTATAGCAAATTTCTTAGATTTTGTTTATGTTTGTGAATTCTATTCGACCCTCAGTACAATTTTATGAATATTTTTTTTTTATTTTTTTTTATATTTTTTTGTATTTTTTATAATTTTGAGGTTTTGCTAATAAATATAATATATAAAAAATTATTTTGGAATAAAAAATCGTCCAGCATTTTTTAGAAAAGTTAAAAAACTTCAAAAAATCGCAAAAAAATTGAATTTTTTTGTAAAATTCGGCCTAAAGATCTCTGTTATGTTCATAAACCAGAAGATATCATAAAATCATAAAAAAGCCTCGACGTATTTTAAATTTAATTTAAACCAAGTTTCATAAATTTCTATCCACTTTGATATTTTCAACTTTTGGTCCCACCACGAAAACCTTTCAAGTAAAAAAAACCCACTTCAGCGCTCTTTTGATCCTTTGTCCTCTTCCAGCCCAAATTTTGATTCCATTTTTTTATCTACGTCCCTTTTTAGCCCACAATAAATCGGATATTTCCCGTTTCCCTCCTTCAAGTTCGCCCTTGAACCTACAAAAGCGGAACTTGCAACAAAACCCGGCGGCTCTCAGCGACGGGAACAACGCGACGAACACAAACAAATAAAAGCCCCCTCCAAACTCTCGAAACCATTTCTGTAAGCACCTTTTTTGGAGGTCAGGGTTCAAATCTGAGGGCGTGGGGGCGATTTTTTCGAGGAATTTTGTTTTTTCGATTTTTTAGGTTATTGTTACTTATATTTTTTAAGTAAAATTAACAATTGAAGCAAATCTTCCCTTCTCAAATACTGTATTTTCTCGTATTTTTTGATTTTTCTGAGGTGTTTGAGCGGGTGACATTTTATACGATGAATAAAAAAATTGGCCAAAGAGCATCCTTGCAGACCTTAATAATTTTGTATGTGTCGCTTCTGTCCTACTTTCTTCCAAAAGAACGGGGCTCCCCGTATTTTACCTAGAAGACATTTTATACGCAAATTATTTAATAGGAAATTAATCTAACAAAATTTAATAAAAAGTTACCAGTTTGAATATTCACCAGATGAAAACTATTGTTTAGAATTCTTTTCAAGTGTTGGCGCCGTATTTTACACAGGTGACATTTTATACGAAAATAATTGTCAGTGTCAAAAATAAGTTCAAAAATAAAAAAATACAGTTTTAGGATTTCCTTTGGTCAAACCTACTCTTAAAATTGCTCTGTGAATATTGCTTGCCCGTATTTTACCCAAGTGCCATTTTATACGACAATTTTTTTTCAAATTTTTTTTTCGTATAAAATGTCCCCGATTAAATTCCTCTCAATATTTTCCCAAACCTTCTCTGTATATTTAGAAGATTTATTCGATGGCAAACAAAAAAAGTTTATGAGTTTTGTGCGCGAAATTTGCATAAACCTCTTCTTTTGGGCGGGCAATTATCTCCCGACCTCACCTGAGAGTTCCCCCATTTTCGCGCACTCGAACCCCGCTCTGGCCTTGATTATGAACAACTTTCAAGTGAACGTGGGTTCCCATTTGAGGTGCTCTATTCAAATTTGAGGAACGTTTGGGATAATTGGGGGAAAATTGGACTTTTTTATATTTTTTTTTGATTTTGATGACTTTTTTTGATGACTTAAAAAATATTCAGTAATACGGTTTTAAGATACGTTGAAGTATGATTTTCATAATTTTAGTTCATTCTCTGCAAAAAAGAACAAAGTTTTGTCCGAAATTTGGCTCAAAGTCGATAGTTTCTTGGCTAATTTACTTTACAGGGGAAGTACTCCAAGTGCGACGCTCAGATTTTCTTTAAATTTAGCACACACGTCGGGTATGGACTAAATATCAATTCCTGAAAGTTTTAGCTCGCGCTTTTCAAGCGCCACCGAGATATCGAACGATTTTTGCCGCCGAGAGAGCACGCTAAACGTGGAGAGCGGTCAGAGAGAAAAGCGCTTTTTGGCCATAACTTTGGCAGTTTCGCGCGGAAAAATTTGATTTTTTGTAGAAACATTATCCTTTACGGTTGAAATAGGCATGAAACTTTTCGTGCCGAAATTCGGCAAAAAGCCCTAAATTTTGGCCGACTTTCGATCTAAAAATCTCGGTTGTTTCTGCAAAGCGCGAGCTAGGATTCTCGCATATATCTTATAAAAAATTATTCTAAATTTGCGCCAAGTTTCATCAAAATCTGAGCGTCGCACTTGGAGTACTTCCCCTGTTAGATTTTTTCTTGTAAAACTCAAAAAAAATTAATTTTAATCGCAAATTTCGGCTGAAAATAATTGTCAAATGCCTCCAAAATATGCCATGAAACTTTTTCCCCCTCTACAAATTTGTTTCCAACAACATTCCCTCTGGCATTTCACCTTCACTCCCCCCATTTTCCGCATTCCTCCCCGCCTCCTCTCTCTCCTTCCCGATTATTTGCGGTGAGCAAAAAAAAAACTTGAAGAATTCGTTGAGGATGCGTACAAATGCGATTTAGGTAACCCAGGCGCTTGCCCGGAGGGCACGCCAAGATCGGAGGAGGGCGAAAACGGTCGAGAAGATTTGTCCGTTCTCTTGCGACGATCCTTTTCTCTCAATTCCCTCGTTTTAATTGCTCTTCCATAACTCTAATGTAAGAGATTGCGCGCTTTATGGGCTCGCGCCGATGGACTCGTGGGTCAGCCGCAGCAAATTTGGAGATTTTTGAGGGAATTTTGATTGGATTCTTTTGACCTTTTCGATTATTAAGAAAGTTGTGATTTTTTGAAATTTTCAAATTTTTAAAAATTTTTCTTGTCGTATTATTACGATTTATGGTCATTACAAGTTAAAATCACTCCATATTTAATAAATTATTTGATTTTTTTCAGCTTTATGGGCTTTTCAAAATCCGATTTTTCGCCGCACAGTGCAAAAAAAAATTTTTTTCTTGCTGCACAGTGCGGGATTCAAAAAAAATGTTTTTTTGAAGTTTTAGAATTAAAAAAATATTTTTTTTTAGTTTTTTGTTGTCAGTACTCTTTGTTGATTACTTTGTTGTTTTCCCAAATTTTTTTTTTGCTTTTTTTAAAAATACAAATTGCACTGTGCAATCAAAAAATTTTGAAAATTTGAAACGAAGCTCAAAAAATGGGCGACTAAAAATTTTTCCCTCAGGGCATTTTAGCAAAGATCAAATCGTCCTCTCGTATTTTACCTATCCTAAAAATCTCACCTCTCTCAGAAAATCATCAGAAAATTTTTTTTCAGCCTCAATTTTTACCCTTCCATTTTCTGCACAGTGCAAAATAATGTTTTTTTTTATTGCACTGTGCGGAAGAAAAATTTTTGTTTTGCACTGTGCAAGGGGCCTCTAAATTGAAGTGTAGGATCAAATTAGTCTTGCCTCAACTAAAAGAAATTATAAGATATGGTAGTCTCTTCGTATTTTACATTTTTTTAAACCAATTTAAAAACCGGCTTTTGATAGCTTTTTTAAATGAGAGCTCCTACGTTGACCGTATTTTACAAATTTTCAATAAAAAATTAATTTTCATCACCCAAGCGTTTTCCTCATCCGATTTAAGCTATTTTTTCAATTGTTTCCTTCAATATTTTTTTACTTCTTCGGATGCCGCTTGTATAATTACCTGTGGCGCAATTTTCAAATCCTTTTCTCGGCTTCTTGCATCACCAAGAAAGGGAACTTCTTAGCCGTGGAAAGCCATTAAAAAATCATTTTCGGAGTCGGTCAAAAAATGAAGATTTTACTTGCTCTGGAGAGACATTTCTTTTGGTAAAATATGAAAAGTCTGAGCAGGGAGGCTACCGGCGATTAAGAGTTTGGGAAAAAATAAGTTTTTTTTGTTTTAGAAACGCTTTGTTGTCAATCTTTTTTTCAGATTTTTTGACATTTTTGAAGGCTTTTGATAATGTTTATATATATAAATTGTAAAGACCTTTAAAGGCTTTTGTTAAAATACGTTGCATCGATATGTTGCTGAAAAACCGGCAACAGTTTCCAGCAACCTGTCGGAAAAATAATGTGGATCCGAGGCGCTTTGAAATCACCTATCAGCGCTTTGCGACAGCTAGCCACAGTTAGAGGAAAAAGCGAGAAATTTTTCCGCGACAAACCCACATTATTTTCCCGACAGACTGAGTGGAAATACGGAGAATTGAAGGTTGAAAATTGGGAAAAGAATCGT